CTAACTTTCCATTCTCGATGTGAGGCCTTTAAAAAATACTTACCTAAAACTAACGTTGGCTAACTTTCCATTCTCGATGTGAGGCCTTTTAAAAAATACTTACCTAAAACTAACGTTGGCCAACTTTCCATTCTCGATGTGAGGCCTTTTAAAAAAATCTGGTGAAGGAACATAACTGTTTCACTAAAATAAAAGGATAGAAATAATTATCTATCTATATATATATATATATATAAAGTCTTACATACAAATACGTCTTAGTCAGTAAAATAAAAAGACAGAAATAGATAAATATATATGATGGTAACTGAGACTCTTCATAAATCAAGAAGATTATATCATAGAATCGAAAATGCTCGTAGAGTAATACGTGAAGTAGGAATGGTGTAATTAGAGCAAATATCAATAAAAAAAACTTTTAGTGTGTGTTAAAAGTATATTACCTATTGAGAAAGATAGAACTAACTTCGTCATGGCTACAGGGAGGTTTCTGAGAACTCGCCGACATCTTGAAAGGCCGAAGGAAGTAGGTCACGAGCATCTGTAGTTGCTCCAAATATTCTTCTTCAGATTCGACCATTCGAAACACGAGACTGAAATGTACAGGTTTGACAAAGGAAAATTCCCAAACTAGCGGTATGTCTGCGGACTTACAACGCTAAAAACCGGGTTTCGATACCCGTGGCGGGCAGAGCACAGATAGCCCATTGTGTAGCTTTGTGCTTAATTCCAAACAAACTAACAAATACTCATTAATAAAAAAAGGCAGGGTGTAATGTCAAAGCATTTATTTTCACAGTTACCCAGTAATAAAAAATATGCCAGGTTTCTAATTTTCAGTGGACCTCTAGTGCTACTTGGGAGCTGAAAACGAGTAAAAAAAAAGGAACTTTTGGTGAAGCACAATGAGAAATAGGTTAATGATGAAACCCAAATCACCGGATTTACACTAAATAGTCTTACGTTCGGTGGTTCAAAGATAAGTTGATTTATGCCTCTGTATATAAGTAGGAGATATGTTTCTCACACTCGAAGTACATTTGTACAAACTAATGTGATTTTGATCTCTAATATTTTTTCCCAGCATATCATATATATTGTTCAATGTTATGCGTAGTTTCACAATTTTTATTACGTCATTAAAGCAAAAAAAAAGGAAATAATTATAAGATGAAAACAACTCTTGTGAGTGTAAAAAACAATCCCTGTTTCAACAAGTATAACAAGACTGGTGTTGTGGAGAGACTATTCAGCCGCTTACCTATTTCGTTTGCGCATGCTCTCTGCATGAGGAGAGTTGATGTATTCGACGACAATCTGTTTCCATCGTTTTCGACACAACCATCCCCGGAAAAAACTTTGCACCTGCACAGGAAACAAAGTATAGTCCATTTAATGAGGCAGTTGCTAATACGTGACGTAGCTACAAACATAAAACTTGTTATCGTGAAAGAAAGACGTTTTGAGCCATTAGGTAAATAACGTTTATGTTTTAAAATGACAACACACTCATAACCACAACGAAACCAGAATTTTAAACAGTCGTCAAATAACGTAAGTAATATTAAGTAACAATGTTATCGAGAAAGAATGATCGGGTTTTGAACCAGTCTTTATTGGCGTCTCTGAAAAT